CTAGAAGCAATCATAAGGGAATATCTTGGGGATGGCTAATGTATTTTTTGGTCTGGACACCAAAAGGAATAATCATAAAAGAAAACCAGTAAGTTATACTTTATCAAGAACTTTTGTTTACCAAAAGACACAGTTAAGAAAATGCATAGGCAGGTCACATAATAAGAGAGAATATTTGCAAAATATATTTCAGACAAAGGATAGGTATCCAGAAGATATAACTCAATATATGAAGACTTTCTATAAATCAACTATAAAAAGATAATCTAATTAAAATTTGACAAAAGTTATGAGCAGACAGAAGAGCTACAAATGGACTTGATATGCACATAAAAAAGGAGCATTATTAGTCATCAAGAAAAGAAAATTATACACCATATACCCACCAGAATGGCTAAAATTAATAAGCTGAGAAAACCCAGTGTTAGGCCGTGGAGCAAGCAGGAGTCTTTCTTCCACATTGTGTGTGGGAGTGCAAAATAGTCCTATCATTCTAGGAAAAGTGTGTTAAATGTTCTTGTATAAGTCTTTTTGTGGATATAGTCTTTCATTTCTCTTGGGTAAATACTTAGGCGTGGAACTGCAGGGAATGTGATAAGCAGTTCTAGTCCTAAATATTTGCGCAAGAGAAATGAAAGAGTACATCCACAAAAAGACTTACACGTACAAGAATGTTCATGGATAGCAGCTTCATTCATAATAGCAAAAACATGAAAACAGTCCAGGTGTCCATCAACAGAAAAATGAATAAAAAACTTAAATTGGCACGATGTTACATATTCCTACACAGCAAGAAAAAGTTACAAACTACTGGATGAATTTTAAAAATACTATGCTGAGTGAGAGCTTGACAAAATAGAACTTTCAATTATTGTATTATAAAGGTCTGTGGTGGAAAAAAAAAAATTAGAACTCTGGTTGCCTCTGGGAAGAGAGGGAGGAACTGATTAGGAAGAGCCATGAGACAACTTGATAAATCTTGATAAGGAGCTCGCTCACACAGGTGTATACAATTATCAAAACTCATAGAATGTTACATTTTAGATTTGTGCATTTTATTAAGTGTAAGCTTTACCTCTAGGAAAAAAAGTTAAAAGATGTGATTTTTTTTAAACCTGACTTAAAAAAAAAAAAAGATTTTATTTATGTACTTCTCAGAGGGAGGGGAAGGGAGGGAGAAAGAGTTGGGGAGAAAGATCAATGTGCAAGAGATACATCAATTGGTTACTTCTTTGCACACCCCCAACTGGGGAATCTGGCTCTCAACAGATGCATATGCCCTGAATGGGAATTGAACCTGTGACCTTTCGGTTTGCAGGCCAGCACTCACTTCACTGAGCCATACCAGCCAGGGCTAAAACATGTGATTTTAATGCAAGAGATCTGAAGGCCACACTTTGAGAACCATTGGGTTTGACTAATTTTGGAAGTAATCCTTTCTTACCATCAAAAATAATTCATAGATTACTATTGTAACATTTTGAAATTTTTAAAAAAGATTTTATTTATTTATTTTTAGACAGAAGGGAAGGGAGGGAGAAAGGGAGAGAAACATCAATGTGTGGTTGCCTCCAAGCTGGGGACCTGGTCCACAACCCAAGCTTGTGCCCTGACCAGGGATCAAACCGGGGACCCTTTGGTTGGTAGGCTGGTGCTCAGTCCATTGAGCCACACCAGCCAGGGCCCATTGTGAAGTTTTGGTTTTGTTTTTGTTTTAAATTCATGGCACTGTTAATGTAAGAATGTCCAAACCTGTAGAGAATTTTTATGAGGGTATTTGAGCCAAACTGAGGACATACCAGGAAGCAAGATCTCAAATGCTCTGGTGAATGACAGTTTTGCAGGGTTTTTTATGCATTTGGAATTAAGAAGGGAACATCACAAGATTACGGGAAGGTGAGAGGAGGCAAAGCAGGGGAATCTCTGATTGGATTACCATATAGTTAAGATTCTGTGCTCCATTTAGGGTGGTTACTCTTTAGAGTGGTCTGGAAGAGGATTACTCCTGGCATTTCAAAGGTTTGTTAACCTAGATTCACAAGCACAATGGACAGAGTTTGCTTAAGGCAAAGATAAACCTTTTATAGGCCTGGGGCATGACTACCCACATTACCTGGCCTGTTAGGCATTTACAATCAGATCAACCTTTGCAGATTATTTTCCTTAGATTGATTACAGAGGCTCTTTTCTTTTTTTGTCCACACCACTTTAAATATTTTAAAGGGTATATTTTGTATATAGTTATATAAATATTGTATGAAAAGTGTCACTTTGTTATTAGAAGATTAATTAGGAAGTGGGTGGACAAAGATTTGTGACAGTATTATATATTCCAATGTTTTCTTAATGTCAGGAATGCAATTTTAGTATCAGGAGGATTTGGACATGGAAATAACTTTGCATTAAATTAGAATGTAATTGAATTGGTTAAAATGTAGTTTGGAATGGATATTTATAGTGATATTTAGTAAACTGGATGTTTTAAATTTGCAGTTGTATAACTTTTTCAGTTGAACCAGCTTTCACCACAGTGCAGTGAATGTGTATCCTTATGTGATAGGCCTCTAGTGTCATTTACTTTAAAATTCTAGGTGTTTAGAAAATGTAGAACTTTTACTTCATGTTTCTTAATTGTAATATGAATCTTAATTGTAATATGAAGCACTTTCAAAAGTGCTTCAGGAGAACAACTGGAACTGTTGTGGAAGGCTTGGTTTTTCTTGCTGATGCAGTAAAGAATTAAAGATCAGGAAGCTGATGAGTACACAGGCAGAGTTTTAAAGCAATATGTTCTCAGGGAAGAGAAAGGGTCTAGCCAAGGTGGGTGAGAGAGGCCTAGGTGTTGGGTCCCTTTGTCCCTTTGTCCTTATATTTAGTTTGTAGGGTGGGGTGAGGAAGTTACGTACTGAATTGGCTGGGAAAGGTGGTGCATACTCTTCCACAGGAGGGCATGACCTCCTAAGTGTACGTAGAGGTGGAGGTCTGTTAACTCAGATCCCTGTCATGCTCCAGACCTTCTCTTGTGATCCTCTTGTAAAAAACAGATACTTGACCTGGAAGCAGTTAAAAGTTAATTTATGAGCTTTTTCTGTAAGCACTATGGACCCCCCTCCCAGCCTCCTCCGTCTCCTATATTTTCTAACTTCTACCTAACGAAACTTGATGCTAATGACCAAATGGTGACTCATGGGTATGAGGCAAATCTGACTTTACTGGTTTATAGATAAAATTACATGGCCAACTGTCATGCCACATCCCAAATAATTTCTCCTACAATGGGATATTAGTGCCTGAAATTTCACCAACTAAAGATATTTGCCTGCTTCCAAATTTTCCTGATAAGAGTCACCTGGGGCACTTACTAAATTTCTGACCCCTCCTTTAGGGATTGAAATTCCCTGCTTAAAGACTGGTTCAGTCGGTCTGGGATGGGCTGAGAATTTATTTGTGTTTTTAAATAGTACCTTCTCATAATTCTTATCACAGACATTTAGGAAACATGGCCCTGAAATGGAGCTAAGTTTCTCCAATACTTTTGCTCCAAAAGAGAGAGAGAGAAAAGAAGAAGAAAGGAAAGGAAAGAAAAGAAAGAAAGAAAGAAAAAGGAGGAGGAGGTGAAGGAGAAGGGGGAGGGATAGAAGGTGAAAAGGAAAGTCACCCAGAAACTTGGTTGAAAATACAGTTTCCTGGGCCTTAGTCAGTCAGTCATGCTTCTCAATTTGGGATGAAGCCCCCAAATCTATACATTTTTTAAAGCTGTGCATCCTGAGAGAAAAGATTCATTTGATGTGAACCTGGAGAAGGGATTTATCTGCTGAAATGGACTCCCCATGGTCTACTGAGGGCCCAAATTTTATGAACAAGAAGAATCTAGTAGTCATTTGCTGACAGAAGCTCCTCATATGCCCCATGTGCTGTAAAGAACCTCAGAACTGAACTCTCTGCTTCATGCTATGTACTACAAGGAAATCTTGGTTTAGTTTTTGTACCAATGGACTGAGAGACCTGCCCCATCCAATTAGAACTGCACAATTTGGATAAACTGCACATTGGATACATAAAATGGACCTAACTGGGAACCTGGTAGAGACTTTCTCAGTTAAAAAAAAAACCAATCTCTCCTTTGTTTTGGTGGCACACAATTTAGGTTGCTACCTGAATCTGTCTCCTGGGCCGCAGCTCTCTTTGCTCAAGTAAATGCTTTTAATTCTCTATTACAGACTTAAATTAGTTTACAGAGTTCATGCAATGCACAGGTCTGAGTGCTATCTTCCTACTGTCACTGCCTTAGTGGAAGGTCCTTGAGTAAGTTTTCAGGCACTCTGGCAAGAGGGGCAGGGAGGAGGGGATAAGAGATTGAAGGAAAGGTAATTTTAGAATTAAGGACAGATCTTAGTGTAAGAGCTAGGTGGAGGACACTGGGAACCTACGGGATAGTGAGCATGCCTAAGAGAAAGGAACCACCGGGGGACCAACCATCCATAGCTGCAATACTACAATCTTTGTGGGAGTGGAGCATGGGTAAGCCATTGGAAAGTGACTTTTGAAAGCAACTAACCATATTTTGCTGTGTATAATGCACACTTTTTTTGCCCAAATTTTTGAGGGAAAAATATAAGGATGCACATTCTGTGTGGGTATAATACCTTGCTATCTTGTTATGTTGAAATACCTTGTATCTGTTCTTGTGTTTTATAATTATTTGTTACATAAAATTGTACTATCATATGTTCACAAATAAATGTTAAAACTCCTTTATAATACAAAAAACAAGTATCTAAATAAGTATAAAATTAAATTAAAAAGTTAAAACGAAAGATGTTTTTCCTGAAAGTTTGGGCCTAAAACGTAGGTGCACACTATACACAGGGGCCCCATTATACATGGCAAAATACGGTACATTCGTTATTTTGCAAGCAAAAATCTGCATGCATGCCATGGATTGCCAGTTCTTGTTTTACATGCTGCTATAAACATTTATTGATTTTTCTCCTGTGTAGTAAGAAGAAAACATAACTTATAGACCATCTTCTCGCAGGAGATGATAGATTTGGATCAGAAACAGGAGGCGTTGCAAACTAGGAATCAAAAGTGAAGAAATTCTGCAAGCCCTTGGGTGAGAAAGGTGATGGATTTATTTACTCATATGTCCCACATTATCATTATATGATTATCTAATGTGAGCGTGTTGTTTTTAGATGGATATATGTACTTTCGCAAATGTTCAGAAGAAGGTGGAATGAGCTATTGGAAATGGGTCTTAAGCACGTATTTCTCCTCAGACTGCTTCTGTCAGCACTTCCTGTCATCACCTTCCCTGCATTCACTTCTACTTAATTGCCAGGACCCTTCTACCTTCTTCCCATGGCTAAATCCTTAACCTGAAATACCTCATTAATGCTTGTGATAGCATTTACTCAGTTCTTACTGCTAGGCACCATGCTGTTGTGCTCTGCCAGCATTCTTCCATTTCTTTCTTGAAATAACCCAATGATCTAGATACTACGATTATGACCCATTTGGTAGATCAAACATGCAAGGTTCCAAGAGGTTCTATAACTTTCCCAGGACTTCACAGCTAGGAAATGGCAGAACCAGATTTGAAAGTTGTTCTTTCTTGCTGCCTCCTTTCTCTCTCAGAGAGAAAATGGGAAATCACACCTGTATGTCCTCTTTTGTAGCCCAGCTTGACAGACCTCTTCTGAAAGGTTGTCAACCCCTGAGATTTAAAAGCATTTAAGTTTTATTACAGAATATTTGAAAGTCAGAAAAGAGAAAGAAATCACCTCTAATATTGTTGACCTTATATAGCTATGATTAATATTTTAATGTATTTGTTTTCAGGCTATTCTTGCACATGTTTATATTTCCTTGTAGTACATACATTCTTCACTATCATATTTTAAATATAAATAGACTTAATATTCATATTCAGATTTTAATTATTCTCAAATGATAACATAAGACTTCTAGCGGTTTGAAATGAATGCAGTCTAGCAAATCAGCGAATGAATGAATGAATGCTTGCTTCCATAAATGGAATATTACATGTTTGTCTGCTTTTCACTTTTGTTTTTTCTGTGTTCAGAGAGAGGGTTCATTGTTCTAGTTTAAATTTTCTATCATGAACAAACAGTATCATGAACAAAGAACATACTCTTCAAGCTCAAGTATGTTTTACCTGTCTTTCCAGGTCTTGCTCAAATCCGTAACAGACTTTGTCTATGCCAGTCTCCTCAAGCACTTTCTGGATACACCTTGTATTTGACTTTCATCTTGTTCTCTGTCTGCTAGATATAATGTTTTTACTTGTTTCTTATATCGTTTTCTATCCCCAACACTTAATCCAGTATTTTTTTTCATGATGTCACATTTTTTTTTTTTTTTTTAGGATTTGGTATTTGACCCAAATTGCTATTAGCCAATTTCCCTGCGATACTAGCATGATTTTAAACTTCCTGGTGTGTCTTTCCATGCCTTTTAGGTTCCTGTTACTCTAACCATGCCAGAAATGACAGAGAATGAGACTCCTACAAAAAAGCAGCACAGGTATGTAGCCACAGTTCAAAAATAATATAGATTCAGAAGATAAGAAGCAGAATTAATCTCTACTTTGTTAAATAAGTAGTCCTTAGGGAACTTTTATTTGGGTGCCTAGAAAACCATTACTCTTCAAAAATAAGTGTGGATAAAGAGAAAAAGGTTTATTGAAAGGGGTTCAGAGTTAAAATTTACCTGTCTTCCTTATTTTACCAGCAGTGTAACAAGTATACCAAATCTATTCTAAATGTTTAGTTTCTTTTGAACATTTTATTTGCATACAGTGTTAGTCTTTGTAGATCTTAAGTTCACTTAGGCTGAAGTCAGTTTGAAAAGACATTTTTTATTTTAGAAACCATTAATGCGAATTACACATCAGTACAATATTATTTTGGTTCTTTGTATAACCCCCTTCTTGATTTCTAGCATTTTGGCCAGTGTTTCTGCTTAGAGTCACATGGCCAATGTTCCCATTAATATTAAAATCTCTATTCTCTTTTCCTACCAAATAGCTATTAGAGGATGTTAATGTATTGAGTAATGGTACCTGAAAGGAAAAATCAATGTTCTTAGTAAATTAGCTTTTAAGAAAATTTAAGGCCCTGGGTGGTTTGGCTCAGTGGGTTGCGCACCAGGCATGTGAACCAAAAGGTCATCGTTTCTATTCCCAGTCAGGGCACATGCCTGGGTTGCAGCCAGGTCCCCAGTTGGGGACATGTGAAAGACAACCAGTCAATGTTTCTCTCGTGCATCGATGTTTTGCTCCCTTTATTTCTCCTCCCTTTCTCTCTCCTCCCTTTCTCTGTCTCTAAAAACAAATAAATAAAATCTTTTAAAAAATCATAGACTATTTTAAAAAAAAGAAAATTTAAGAGATTTGCCTGGGCTGGTGTGGCTCACTTGGTTGGGTGTTGTCCTGCAAACCGAAAGGTCTCAGGTTCAATCCCCAGTTAGGGCACATGCCTGGGTTGTGGGTTTGGTTCCTAGTCGGGGTGTGTGCAAGAGGCAACTGATCGATGTTTCTCTTTCATATCAACGTTTCTCTTCCTCTCTTTCTCCTTCCCTTTCCCTCTCTCCAGAGTGAGTAAGAGAAAAAAAAATTTATTAAAAAAGCAATAGAAAAGTTAAGAGTTTGAATAACCTAAGGTACATAACTGTACAAGGTAGCTAAAATGCCAATTGTCAGTACTTGGGTGCTGTTGGTTGCCATACCTCCTTCTGTACAGATTTTTAGTTTCTTCTCCACTGTTGCTTGTTTCCTTTACATACTCACCCCCACCTTAGCCCCGGTGCGAAGGCACACAAACATTAGAAGTCACTTACCTACTTGGCATGTCACTTTGAGAATTGACAGGCTCATTTAATTACATTTGTCAAATAAAGTTTTCAGTTATTGATTTACTTCTGAACCAATGACTCACCTTCTTGGCACATCACTTTGAGAGTTGACTAACTCCTAAATTATATTTTCAAATAGTTTTCAGTGATTGATTCACTTCCTTACCAATGGTTTGTGGGTATGGAAGAACAGGGAATTGTGGTTACTTGCAGAAATTGTGGATTCTAAATTTATATTGCTGTATCTGTAGTTAAGTTTTCATACCATAATACATATTAAGAAAAATTTTCTTCATGTGTTTACTTATTGCTGTGACAAATATAAACTCATGAAATTTGTTCTTATGGTTCTCAAAATACAAAGTGATGAAAATGTTTTTCTATTATTTTCATGTTCCTTTTATCTACACTTTTTGTTTCAGAAAGAAAAACCGGGAGACACACAATGCAGGTAGAAACAACAATTTAAATTTTGTTTGTTAACATTTTTGTATTCAAAATAAAATTACACTGTAGTTTATTATAAGCTTTTATGCTATAAGTACAGAATCATTATTCATTTGTTTTAGAAAAGTATTTCTTTATTGTTTTCAGTTGACAAAACACCTCTGCAGCTCCTGAAGATGGTTTGCTTATCATCTTTGGATTTACTATCTAGATAATTTAAGGATTAATATACCCCTGGAGACAGAGTTTTAAATGATTTCTCCCACTGAGTGATTTTAGTGTTTTAAGTGATTTCAGATATACTTTTCCTAAATAGAATGAACAGTATGTGTCTTTGCAGAAATTCCAGAGGGGGCTGGCTGCCTAGAGGAATAGGGAAGAGATGAGCAGCAGGCTGTAGATCTTAAAGGTACTTAAAATGTGAACAGTCTTAAATTAAGTTGTGGAGTCCTCAATTATAGGAAGAAATGTAGAAAATCAATATTTATTTTTATTTCAAACATCAAAATGATAGGACAAAACCAGACAAACATTTATAGATATAATTGTGCATACATTTACAATTTGGTGCATTTTATAACATTTATTTTCCATCAGGGACTTCACTGAGATCTAAAAAAGATTAGAAGTTAATTTCTACTATCTATATTATAAATGATATATTCCTTTCCCTAAGGAAAGGACCCTGGGAAAATTATATGTATGGCGAGATGTGTTGAACACTTGTGGCATATTGCTCTTCCCCAGAAGGGAGTTTACTGCCTTTGAATTTCCCTTTATCACTGTGGGCAAAGAGTCTTAATTTTTTTTTTTTTACCTCTACACATTAAAAAATTTGCTTCTAGATAAGAACAAAAACTATTGTTTTGCTTCTTTTTTTTTTGCCATATGAATTAAATCTAATTTTTTCTGGCTATATGACCTGAATGACAGTGATTGGCATCACTGTCACATGGTGCCATAAATATATGCTAATAGTAATTTATTGAGAATAATTAGATGTCATTGGAAAAGAAGTCTTTACTGATATGATAGATTATGAAGCAAAAAGTATATATATTTTGTAAAACAAGACCTATCTATGCTACAATCTGAAAGATCATTCCTTTAGAAGCACTGGAATCCTTTGTTAGGAAGGTTTTACAGAACTTTTTAAAAGAAAATAGCCAAGACTAGTGTTTCTACTAACAGTGTCTTATAGAAATTATTTAGGTCATCTCTTGTATCCTCTTGACCCTTCTATATATCTTTTAAAGTTGTATCATATAAGCCTGGAACATTTCTCAGTTCACTGAGAAGTTGTCAGTTACTGTTTCTTGGATGGAAAAAAAATCCTACATGGCCAGAGTGAAGAGCCCAGATCCAGTAGGAAAAACCAAGCCACTGTCTTTTCTTGTATATTTTAAGTTATAACTAATAACTGTTTCTATCTCACAAATGTCCTCCAGTCATCCTAAAAAGTGTTTTAAGGTTCTTTTAATCTGTCTGGAAAAGTCTCATTTGTCCATCTGCTATAAAGAGGCAACTTTCTAAGTACTTAGCTTATTAGTGGGTTCTTGAAATTTGGTTATTAAACTCTCTAATAATTATTTGAAATATAATATGATAATGGCCTAACAGTAATGTAATATTAGCAATTTCTGTTTATAATTTGAATTTAGTTATTATAGATTACATTCCTTAAAGTGCTAATAAAAATACTGCTTATATCAGTTTCCATAACACTAGTCATGTTAAAGTATGACATTCTTTGAACTCTTATTATAATTGGTCTTCAGTAGATACTATTTGATAAGATCTTCTTAGGTTTTTCTTTGCCTAAAATTTCTTTACCTAGGGAGAATGAAGCAATTTGGCTGTAGGTTTGATAAATGGATTTTTTCCCCTCTCTAGTGGAGAGGCATAGGAAGAAAAAAATCAATGCTGGGATTAACAGAATAGGAGAGCTGATCCCTTGTTCCCCTGCACTGAAGCAGGTAAGACGTTCACACATTTTTATTCATAACTTGTAAATAGATAATTCCCTGTTGTTTCTGTGCTCAGAATGATTATTTTTGTTCCTTGTCATTAATAGTTTTTTTGAGCTAATAATTGCCTCATAATTTTTCATTTGCATAATTTTCTACATAGCTATGTTTCTTTCCACACTCCTAACAGCCTTCTAGTACTGCTTTCTACATTGATCAAATGGACCATATAATTTCTAGATCTTTAAGATCTTGAATTACTCAGTCCCATGCTTACATTTATATGTGTGCACTGTATTTACCAGGAATTTCTTTTATTTTTCTGCCAATCATGTTCTTTACTATCTTAAATTCTTACCTATCTTAGATTCTTCTAAGGATCTCTCCTTTATTTTACTCTCCATGCCCTATCAACCTCCACTAAAATCTTAGCTTATTAAAGCTGACAGTCTTCTCTACTGAAGATAGTGTTTTATTTCCTCTGATAATGAGGATAAAGTGTGCTCACTGAAAACAAAACAAAATAAAACAAAAATGGAAACAATATAGAGGGCACTAAAAAGTTTAAAAAAATAAATTGCCACCCCACTCCCAAGTTATAATCACTATTAAAGTATTGTTATGCATTTCTCTAGACATTGTTTTATGAATATGTCTGTAGTTTCATAACCTGCTTTGTATTTTCACTCAGTGGTACGCAGTAGACTTGGTTGTAGATACCTTTCCTCATGTGTTCTCCTAACATTCAAATGTTATATAGTATTTGACTCTAATGGGATATTACAATATTGTGTTAGCCTTTAAAAAATTTTTTTTATATCATATTTGTTTTTGTTTTTTTAATATGCTCACTTGAGGACATTTTCCCATTACTTTTAGAGAGAGGAGGAGGGAGAGAGAAACATCAGTGTGGCAGAGAAGCATCGATCAGTTGCCTACCATAAGTGCCCCAACCGGGTATTGAACCTGTGACTTTTTGGTTATAGGACAATGTTCCAACCAGCTGAGCCACACACCGGCCAGGGCTGTCTCATGGTTTTTATTATAAGTTCCCTGAATCTAAGAGGTTTTCAACTAGTTTGAAAACTAATTTTTAAAACATTCTAATTGAATATTTGTATATTCTTTTGTTATGTAGTGCCTATTCTAGTTGTTTGACCTATTTTTCTAATGGATTTTCTTTTTTAAAAAATTTATATTAGATTTATTGAGTGACACTGTTTAATGCAATTATATTTGTAATTAAATTAATATTTGCAAAAATTAATATATACACACAGCAAATAGCACTAAAAAGCTTAAAACATCAAAAATTAGTTTCCTGTCTAATGCTTCCCAATTCTAATACAGCTCCTTAGAAGCAATCATTCTGAACTGCTTCTTCTATCATTACCTTTATATTTCAAAGTGTCATGCTTCCATTTCTGTATCTTATTTTCCATTTTATATATTATCTACTGACTTCTATTATGTTTCTCCCTTGGCTTCCCCTTGTCTATTCCTCCCAATATAATTCTACTACAACTTTAGATTAAATTGGCATTAGTTTTTATGTTGTTAAAGACAGTCTAAATATGGTTTACAGTTGAGCCAAGTAGTGTACTATATTATGTTTCATTTCACATAAAACTTTTGGCTTTTTGGAGTTAATAATTGCCTCATTGTTCTTCATTTGTTTAATTTTCCCTATACCTCCCTTTAATTTTTTCCATACTTCCAAGAGTTTCTTAGTACAGTTTCCACATGGTCAAATGTACAACATAATTTCCATTTTCTCTTTTTTTCCTTTGAGACTTTGTTTCTGGAACCCTCTACCCTTCCTTTTCAATCTCAATTGTTTGGTCTCCTCCAACTCTTCTGTTTTTAATTTCCTCTCATATTTTTAATTTCTAAGATTCTTTTTTCTTATTCTTTTTGTTTCTTTTCATACGTCATGTTTGTTTCATGGATACAATATAATCTCATCTATGAGCATGTTACAGGGTATTTTTTTTAAAGTTTCTTCTATTTCCTGTGTTGACTTTGTTTCTTCTGATTTGTCTTGATGTTTTGTCTCTCTTTTTTTTTTTTTTGAGACTTTCCTGAAATGTTTAGTGATACTTAGTTGTTTTTTCATATCTGACAATGAGGCATTAAAAAGCTGATGACTAGGCTTGTCTTTTGGTGGCCCTGACTGTTGAGTGATTAGGTGGTACACTAGTGTTGTGAAACTCAAAAATGTCAGCATTTTTAGCTTATTTTTTGTTTTGTGGTTAGCTTTTATTTTTATTTTTATTTTCCAGAGCAGAACCCTTCAGCCCTATACCCAGGAGTGGGACTGGTGGGAAGAGTCAGGCTAGTTGCCATTATTCTGGAAGCTAGGTTGGGGAAGTAAGTGCTCAAGGGTCTCATGCTTTAGGAGGCAGAGTTTGACTGTACCCATTTTCACTGAGGAGCCTCATCTTGTTCACCTCTGTGCCAGGTATCCCTAGGGCTGAAATTCCCTGGTTACAATTCACAGAAAATAAACTCGTCTCCTGTGGTTGGGACAGAAAGGGGAAGTCATCCAGCTGGGGGGCGGGGGGAGGGTGGTGTGTGTGTGTGGGGGGGTGGGAGTTGGTTCTTGTTACTGCATCAGAAGAATCTTTCCACTAGTCCCCTCAATTTTAACCCCTTATTTCTCACCTCACCTTCTGTGGTAGCTGCAGCTTCCCAATCCTGAACCTTCCCTGGCTTTGGGATGACAGATCAACTTGGCTCGTTTCCCAATACTGTCTCCCTTGGGAAGGTCTTACATTTCAGTTTCTTTTAATTCTCCCCTACAGTGTGGTACTTAATTGTGCATAAATATGGTTTTTAGCTCTTTTTAAACACGTACTTTCTGTTTAACACAACAGCAAACTTAAGGGCACTTTGTCTTCTGACTCTTTTGCTTCCTCCATATCTCAATGTATACTAGCTGCTTAATAAATATTTGTGTTTGCCTAGTAAAATCTTATTTTCCTGCTGTTGGCTTTCATTTCTATGAGTTTCTCTGAAAGGAAAGCATAATTATTTTGCTTTCTTGGTGTCCTAGAATGTGCAGTGGAAGTCAGTATTTAGTGCCCCCAAATGGAATAGATTAAGATTATCTTTACTATTGCTACACATTCCCAACCTCTTCTGTAGTAGAGAGGCAGTAAGTGGGCACCATCAGGTTCTGCCTTTGTTTTGACTCTTAATTTAAAAAAGGACAATATCAGGGTTTTTTTTCTCTGAAGTGTTTTCCTGGGTTATTTTGGGACTCAGTCTAAGGAACCCAGAATGGTAACTTGCTGGTTCAAAGCCCTAAATCATTGATTTCTGTTTGAAAAGATCTTTCTGAAAAAGTATTGGAGATACTTAATAATGTGTATGTGGGAGTGGAAGTTAAACATGCACTGCTAATTTTTAAAAATAATTTATTTTTCTTTTCTAAATTGTATTTTATTGATTATGCTATTACATTTGTCCCAGGTTTTCCTCCTTTGCCCCCCTCCACCCAACACCCCCCACTCCCTCAGACAATCCCCACACCATTGCTCATATCCAAAGGTCAGGCATAGTTCTTTGGCTACTCCATTTCCTACACTGTACTTTACATCCCCATGGTGGCTACTCTGTAACTACCTATTTGTACTTCTTAATTCCCTCATCTCTTCATCCATTCCCCCACACAGTCTTCTATCCAGCAACCACCAAAACGGTTCTTCCTAGCCATGATTCTGTATCTGCTCTTGTTTGCTTAGTTTCTTTTTTAGATTCAATTATTGATACATATGTATTTATTGCCATTTTATTGTTCATAGTTTTGATCTTTTTCTTAAATAAGTCCCTTTAACATTTCATATAATAATGGCTTGGTGATGATGAGCTCCTTTAGTGTTTACTTGTCTGGGAAGCTCTTCATCTGCCCTTTAATTCTAAGTGATATCTGCTGAGTAGAGCTGTCTTGGCTTTAGGTACCTGCTTTATGTGACTTCGAATATTTTTTGCCAGCCCCTTCAAGCCTGCAAAGTTTCTTTTGAGAAGTCAACTGACAGTCTTATGGGAACTCTCCTGTAGGTAACTGACTGCTTTTCTCTTGCTTCTTTTAAGATTCTCTCTTTATCTTTAACCTTTGGCATTTTAATTATGTTGTGTCTTGGAGTAAGCCTCTTTGCATCCATCTTGTTTGGGACTCTCTGTGCTTCCTGGACTTGCATGTCTATTTCCTTCACCAAATTAGGGAAGTTTTTTTTCATTAATTTTTAAAATAGATTTCCAATTTCTTGCTCTTTCTCTTTTCCTTCTGGCACCCCTACAATGAGAATGTTGGAGTGCTTGAAGTTATATCAGAGGCTGCTTACGCTATCCTCATTTTTTGGGATCCCTTTTCTTCTTGTTCTGATTGGTTGTTTTTTTCTTTCTTATATTCCAAATCATTGATTTGATTCTTGGCTTTATCCAATCTACTGTTGTTTCCCCATAAGTTGTTTATTTCAGTTAGTGTATCCTTCATTTCTGACTGGATCTTTTTTATGCTGTTGAGGTCCTCACTAAGTTCCTTGAGCATCCTAAAACTACTGTTTTGAACTCTGCATTTGATAGATTGCTTATCTCCATTTTGTTTAGTTCTTTTTCTGGAGTTTTGATCTCTTCTTTTATTTGGCCCATATTTCTTTGTCTCATCATTTTGGTAGCCTCTCTGTTTGTTTTTATGTATTAGGTAGAGCTGCTATGACTCCTTGTCTTGGTAGTGCGGCCTAATGTAGTAGATATCCTATAGGGTCCAGTGGCAGAGCCTCCCCTATCACCCAAGCTGCGTACTCAAGGTGCAGCCTTCATGTGGGTTGAGTACACCCCTCTCTTATAGTTGAGCCTTGGTTGCTATTGGCAGATCAATGGGAGGAATTTACCCAGACCAGTCAGTTACAAGGATTGGCTATGACCACTTTCCGCCAACCTTTGTCCCCTGTGGAGGATCTGCTGTGCAGGATCGGGGTCGGGGGGTGCTCTGATGTGGTCTGTAGCTGTCCTCTGGGTGTGCAGGGCCTGGGGTTTTCTGTTTGGTGCAGGCCAATGTCAGCCTCCACCTATGTTTGCCTCGAGCCACCCTGCCTGAGCTATAAAGCATTCTGAGATGGCTGCTACTTGTGCTGGGCTTGGAGATTTTCAGGTGAAACCAAGCTGTGAATCTAGGCTGGATGCTGCTAGTGCTGAGCCTGGGGCCCCTTAGCAAGAGGTTCAGGGGCTAGGAGCTCACTGAGGCTGGCCGTTGCTAGTTTGAAAGGACTTAGGATGTTGTGAAGCATGAGCCAAGACCAGGAGTTCATATGGAAAGGGCACTGTTAACAGCTGTAAGTTGGGTGGGGCAGAGCTTCAGGAGATCTCCAGGGTGGGGCAAAGAGTGTTAGCCAGGTTGATGGAGTGTAAGATATGGTACCCACCCACCAGCTCTGTGGCTTTGTTGGGGGAGGGTTCAGAAAAGGGACAACGGCCTCTGTCCGCCTTTCTGTCTGGGAGAAAGTTGTCCCCCAGCTCTCGCCTTGATACCAGACACTTCAGTTTCTCCCTTTATGTCACTGGTGTTTCAAGCTGCTACCCTGGTGCTGGAGCTCAGAGGGAGTGAGTCTGAGTAGGTGAGTCCATGTGTGGGTTCTTTAAGAAGAACAGCTTGGGACTCCAGAAGTCTCTCCCACCAACTCAATTCCCACTGGTTTTTGCATCCCAAAGTTATGGAGACTTATCTTCCTGGCACTGAAACCTTGGGCTGGTAGGCTTAGTGTGGGCATGGCACTCCTCGCTCCCAAGATACCCCTCCCGAATTTTTATGTACCACATGTGGTTGTGTGGACCAGCCCATTCTGTGTCTCTGCCCTCCTACCAGTCTGGATGGATGGGGTTTCTTTAATTCTGTAGTTGTCAGACAACCACTCAACTTGATTTTTGACAGCTCTGATTGATAGTTTATTTTACTTTTCAATTGCACTTGACAGCTCAACATTTTTAATAGCTAAAGAATAAAAAACCAAAATGCCTCTTACACAGCTTAAATATTTATCAGTAATAGACTAGAAATAAAATAAATACAGCTTCTAGAATGTATAATATAGATATTGATATCTAAATGCTAAATAGAAGAAACTCCAAGATATATTTTTAAATTAAAAAAGTAACTTTTTGTTTATAGTATCCTTCTGTCTGGGTTTAAAAATTTAAGAATACACACACACACACACGCACACACATTGGGATAGAATATTCCGAAAGAGTACACAAGTAACTTTATAGTGGTTGCCTCTGGAAAGGGTTGGAAGTTTGGTTTTTATTATACATCCCTTGAGGTTATTTATATTTTTTGCCATATGCACATATTATGTTTTTGATTTTTTAAATTGTTTAATTAAGAATAAAGAATAAAGCAACACTTTCACATAAAATATAATCTTTTCGAAAAGCTTAGGAATGGAATATACAGGGAGCATGACACCAAAACTCAATGAAGTGACATTGTTTTCTCAACCTATTGTTGGAATAATTTGTAGTTCTGGTTGACAGAGCAAGGAATAACATTATAATCTTAAATGGTCTTGAAAGCTCATATTGGCCTCTTCTCTTATTTTTCTTCTCCTTACTTGTCCTCCAAAATGCCAGACACAGCCCTGCTTGAGGGCTTTGCTCTTACTGATCCTGCTACCTGCACCCTCTTCCTCCAGGTACCTACCAGGCATATGCTTCCTTTTTCCTTGTTCAGGTTTGTGCTTAAATGTTGCCTTAGAGAAAGGCCTTTCTCAACCTCCCCATATAAAATAGATTGTAACAGAATGTTGTAGTCATTTTGGTATGCCAAAGAAAAATAACATAGCCTAGGTGGTCTAAACAACCAAAATTTATTTCTTAGGGTTCTGGAGGCTGGTAGGTCCAAGACCAAGGTGCTGGCTGGTTTGGTTACTGATACAGGTTCTCTTCTTGGTTATGTCCTCACATGACAGAGAGAGGGAGCAATCACCTTCCTCTTGTCTTTTCTACTAAGGGCTTCTCACTTATGGGAGACCTACCCTCATGTCCTAATTATCTCCCATAGGCCCAGCATGCAAACACCATCACAGCAGGGATTAGAGTTTCAATGGGAATTGTAGGGGGACACAAACATTCAGTCTGAAGCACAGGGTAACTTCTGCCAGTTCTCTGGCTCTTCCTTACGCTGCCCTATTTTTCTTCATAGCACTTACCACCTGGTTATTTATATATACGTATAAAATTTCTCAAGGTCAGGAACTTTTTCTGTTTTGTGTATTATATCCCTAGTGCCTATGACAGAGCCTGACACATAGTAGATGCTCAATAAATACTTAGTAAGTGAAAGATGAACAAAGTTTTTGAATAGGTTGCATTTCAAAAATTTTAAAAGATACTGTCACATATTGTGATAAAACCAAAGCTTTAAATTTCTTCCTGCAAGATCTTACCTTTCAGTGAAGCGTTTAAACAGTTAATTTTCTTTGGCAGAGCAAGAATATGATCTTGGACCAAGCCTTTAAATATATAACAGAGCTGAAAAGGCAAAATGATGAACTCCTGCTTAATGGAGGAAACAATGAACAAGGTAAGTATTTTTTCTTCCTTTTTGTTGTTTTGTTTTTCAATGTTCAGGCCTTTGCTTCACAGCCAACTTATATTAATATACAGAAGGCTTTTTTGACCAAAAACATTAGTAAGACCATGCATTCATTCGGTCTGGGAAAATAGTATTGCAAATAAATTCATCTTAGTTTACCTTCTTTCCCCATTCTGTGAGCAGTTCTAATATTGCAGGCATACATAATTTTTACTTTGGACTTGTCTGTGATTTTTGTTTGCCTAATTCATAAATAATGCTGTATCTCTTGTATTCTAGTTGGGTCTTCCAGCTAGGGGAAGCCCATTAGAGGATGTAGGGGGGAATCCTGCTCATTGTAACTTAAAAACAAGATAAAGATATGCCTGTGCCAAGACTTAACTGTGATTTTATCCAAAAGGCCACACACAGTTTATAATTGTTTATATTACATGTAATGTGTCATTAAACTGATCATTTAATGATATTTGATTCTTAGATAAAGGTGAGTTTTTTTGTGTTATCAAATGAATCTCTTTTTCCACTTGAACTGGAGAATGGGTTTCCTTATAACAACTAAAAAGAAAAGTATCACAGGCAAGTATAAAGCTCAGAGTGGTAGGCCAGTTTGACTTGTCCTTTATTTATGTCTCTGACAAGAGCAGAGAGAGTTTCTTGCAACAACTCAGAAGGTCACAGTAAAAGGTGAGAAACAAAGACAGAATTTGTGGAGGTGGCAGCAGTGCTGGGCTGTGTTTATAAGAAGAGGGAAGAATATTAGAAAGCATATTCAGAAGGTCAGGTTCAGAATTTCCTTCTTTACTTTTAGTTAGATAACAACTTATCCCCTCAACTTGGTCAGCTGTCTTTTATGGTCTGGGCCCTGTCTTATGATGCTGTCAGGTAGTTAGGTACATAATCTATGTTTGGTAACGATTTTGGGGTATCCCATAAAAAGGATGTTAAGGCTAGAATGACTTTTCTAATGAGGCCCTCTTTGGTTTCATAGCCCAGTGGTTGAGACAGTTAAGTTAGCTTAGGGAAAAGGGAAACTACTGAAAAAATATGAGTTGCATGGGGTTCAGGAAAAGCTGAACAACATGGCCAGGGGTTGGAGCAGCAAATTAAGCAGCTTAAGTGTGACTATGTTGCCATCTCTCTCATCGTCCTTTTTTTGATTCTTTTTTTGTGCATCTGTTCTGTCTTCTTTTCATCTCCCAAATTTCCTCCATATACTCACAGTGCAAAAGACAGTCTAGAACAGTGGTCAGAGCAGTGGCCTTGGGAGTTAGGCTGACTTGGGTTTGTATGTCAGTTTCATTTGTCACTCAAGTACCTCTGTCCAGTTACTTAACGTCTCCAAGTCTCAGTTTCCATATTTTAAAATGAGGATAATCCTAAGTGTCTATCTGGTTGACTTTAGACAAATTCTGTAACTACTCTGAGCCTGTCTCTCACATCTGAAAATGGTGATGACAATAGGTAGTTTCCATCTCATGGTTGTTATGAAGATTAAAAGAGAGAATTCTGGAAAAGCACTTAAAGTCTGGGACATAGTAAATGATCAACAAATGTTATCTGTTGTGATTGTTGTTGTTGTTGTTATTACTAAACAAGACAATGAGAAGTGCCAGGCATATATAGCAAGTGTGTGATGAGTAAGAACAACCATTATTTTTTCTGTCCATAATAAGTCATTTTAATTTCTAATATCCATGGCGCCTTGGCATTTTTTTTTTCCTGTGTCTCTTAGGTTAAATATCTGAGGAAAATAATCTAATAGTCTCACCTCAGTCTTGTCAGAACAGAACTTTGCATTTCAGGCTACCTAATAGTGCATTGTCCTTGAGGATTGTCTGTTTTCAGCAGGGAGAGTGGGGAGAGTACCCACCACTATAGCAAGGCAGGTAGGGATGGATGGGGTCACAGAGCATAAATAGCAGCAGCCCAGGCTGCCCCGTTAGTAGGATCCATGGGTGAGGCTGTCTCCTGTAAAAGGAATAGGGGTGTGACAGACATATTCATTACTCAGTAGCGTACATACATGGGCCCTGCCAAGGAAAAGGCAAATTTCATTGTTGATGCTTTCCTCTGTGCTCTACGACTTCACTTCTTGCATGTTCTGGTTGGTCTTTGTTGTTTCAAAGGGTAAAATAAAAACTAGTGTAAAGCCATTTATAAAAAGAGACTCTTTATTACCATTATAAGTAATGTTAGCTGTTGTAGCATTTAAATGCTATTATATCAGTGATCAATGTTATTTTCCTAGCATGTTACCATGATGTCATTATGTCTTCTCTTGCTTTACCTTTGTAGCTGCCCAATTGGGAATTTTTGAATTGAGAGTTTTAAGATTTCTATATTATGAGTGATTTTTGAACTTTGAATTGTTGATTTTTAAAAATATATACTTTTAAAATAAGGAATAGAGATTTGAGACACTATTCTAAAAAGAAGAAAGCTTGTAATAGGACATAGCTGAATATTCTTAATTGAGGTATTTGGAATGCTAGAATTAGATTTCGGTAGTTTTAATATACAGTTCTTAAGTTACTGTAAATGCTGACATATACAGGTAATTGTTTCATTTTTATTTTTAATATTGTAGCTGAAGAAATTAAAAAGCTACGTAAACAACTGGAAGAAATTCAAAAAGAAAATGGCCGATATATTGAATTATTGAAAGCAAATGACATATGCTTATATGATGATCCCACAATCCACTGGAAAGGAAATCTTAAAAACTCAAAGGTCTCTGTTGTTATTCCCAGTGACCAGGTTCAAAAAAATATTATTGTTTATTCCAATGGGAGTCAGCCTGGTGGAAACAACCAGGGAACAGCTGTTCAGGGGATAACCTTTAATGTTGGCCATAATTTACAAAAGCAAACTGCCAATGTGGTGCCAGTACAGAGGACTTGCAATCTTGTGACTCCTGTGTCTATTTCTGGAGTTTACCCTTCTGAAAACAAGCCATGGCATCAGACTGCAGTTTCTGCATTGGCTGCCAACCAGCCTGTTCCTCTTTGTCTTCCGGCTACCATTCCTGCTCAAAATATTCTCGAGCTTTCCACCTCCGAAAGCGAACCAAGTGTTCTTGGCACCACCACTGGCTCCCTGATTGCTATTCCCGTTGGGCCTGAACCTCACCAACATCGTCCCTTGCACACAAGTCTAAATGACCAAAATTCTTCTGAAAATAAGAATGGGCAAGAGAACCCCAAAGTATTGAAGAAAATGGTCCCTTGTGCCACAAGCATCCCCTCCAGCTCCTCAGCAGCGGCTGCTAAAGTGAACCATGGAGGCAAGTCCTGCCCGAGCATACAGGATTTCAGAAGTGATTATCAAACCACCTTTGTTGTTTCAGTTACCACCACAGTCTGCTCCCAACCCCCAAGATCTGCAGGTGATTCTTGTCCAATGAGCATTAGCAAGGGTGCAGACTTAACAAGTGTCTCCACAGCGGTGGCCCCATCTGCCCCTGGAGGAGGGAAGACCACCACTCCTGTAAGCACTCTTTCTGCAAACCCTTTGGATAATGGTTGGGCTCCCTCTTGTTCTTTGCCTTCTTCAGCTGTTAGTGCTTCAGATATGAAAAACATTAATAGCCTTACTCGAATTTCCTCAGCTGGAAACACGCAGACAACGTGGACTACTTTGCAACTGGCAGGAAACACTATTCAGCCCTTAAGCCAGACACCATCTTCTGCCGTGACTCCAGTATTAAATGAATCTGGTACTAGCCCCCCCACAACAAACCACAGTAGACACGGAGCTACAGGCATCAACTTGAATAATTCCTTTCCAGCAGATGGGCAGCCAGTTGAGCAAGTAATTGTAACCTTGCCTTCTTGTCCATCCTTACCTATGCAGCCACTAATTGCCCAGCCACAAGTTAAATCTCAGCCCCCCAAAAATATCCTTCCATTGAATTCAGCAATGCAAGTGATTCAGATGGCTCAGCCAGTTGGGACAGCTGTTAATGCAGCTCCAGCTAATCAAAATGTTATTATTCTTCAGCCACCCAGCACCACTCCGTGCCCGACAGTGATGAGGGCAGAGGTTCCCAACCAAACCGTAGGGCAGCAGATAGTAATCATACAGGCAGCTAATCAGAATCCTTTGCCACTCCTCTCGGCTCCACCTCCTGGTTCTGTTCGGCTCCCTGTCAATGGAGCCAATGCTATAATAGGATCTAATTCAGTGCAAAATATTTCGACTCCACAGACTTTTGGGGGAAAGCATCTTGTCCACATATTACCAAGACCTTCATCATTATCAACATCTAATTCAACACAAACTTTTTCTGTTACCATGTCAAACCAACAACAGCCTCAAACCATTTCTTTAAATGGACAGCTCTTTGCTTTGCAGCCTGTGATGTCTTCATCAGGAACTACAAACCAAAATCCTATGCAAATTATTCAACCCACCACCAGCGAAGATCCAAATACCAACGTTGCCCTGAATACATTTGGCGCTTTGGCCAGCCTCAATCAAAGCATATCACAGATGGCTGGGCAAAGCTGTGTACAATTGTCTATTAGCCAGCCTGCCAACCCTCAAACTGCTGCAAATAGTCAAACTACCACAGCTAACTGTGTTTCATTAACAGCAACTGTAGCTTCTCCCATGACAATAGATAGTTCAGCCACACTACCCAGTATTTATAATCTAGTGACTGCTCCCTCAGTGAACACTGTAGCTTGTTTGCCTAATGTGAAATCAAAAAGGTTGAATAAGAAGCCAGGTGTCAAGAAACACTTAGCAGCTAACAAGTCAGCATGCCCCCTGAATCCAGTCAGAAATGTGGGCAAAGCAGACAGCCCCAGCACTGAAGGCTCAGCAGAGCCACCATGTAACGCTGGACTGCTGGAAAGCCCCCCTCTCATGTCGCCATCTGTCACTATGTCCCAGGCAAAGAGTACCGCAAGTGTTTCTGGCTCACATCCTTTGGATGTTCTGAATTCGGAACCAGTGATACCTGAGTCTGTACCCAAATCTAAGTCAGCAGAAGAGTCTAATTCACCCTTGCAAGAATCTGTAACAAGTGAACATTTTGCAATGGCCCCAGCAAAATCCAAAGATTCTGCCCCCATAGTGCAACGAGAGATATCTCAGGATAAGCCACCAACTAGTTTGGCATTGTCAGATGCTGCCAAACCCTGTACTTCAGCCAACATGTTGATTCCAACTTCAAATGATCCCCACATTTTGGTTTCTCAGGTTTCTGGTTTGTCATCTGCCACGAGCACCACAAGTACTGACTCTGTTTCTGAGATAGAAATCATGTCTGAACCTTGCAGAGTTGAGCAAGATTCATCAGATAGAATGGAAGCCCCAGGTCTCTTAAAGGAGCAAGGTTTAACTGCATTACTATCTGGTCTTTCTAAAGAAAAAGACTCTCAGAAATCATCTCTTTCAGTCCAGGTGGACCATCCTGACTTTTCTTCAGAAAATTCTAAAATAGTTGATGCAAGTGTTGATTTACAGCCCAAACAGGAGTTGTTACTGATGAGCAGTGAGGATAGAGATCCGGGACAGCATCATTCCTGCACCCCTGATCATGAGGGTATTCATGGTTCTTTGCTCAACAGTAGGCAGACTGACTCTCCCATGTCAACCAGCTCTGGCAGTAGTCGTAGTTTCTCAGTTGCATCCATGCTTCCTGAAACATCCAGAGAGGATGTCACCAGCAATGTACCAACTAATACGTGTGACAGCTGTACCTTTGTAGAGCAAACTGATATAGTCGCTCTTGCAGCAAGAGCTATTTTTGACCAGGAGAACCTTGAAAAGGGAAGAGCTGGCACCCAGGCTGATATAAGGGAAGTTACTTCAAAGCCTTCCGAAGCATCATCTTTAGAGGGAGACCAGCCTTTCAAAACACAGATCTCTAAAGAGAATGGCCCAGGTCAGGCAGAAGCAACACCAAATGAATTTAATTCTCAGGATTCAATTGAAGCAACTGTGGATAGGCCCCTTGAAAAACCAAGTTGTTCTGTAGGAATTAAAACATCAAATGCCTCTTTGCAGGTGTCGACTTCTCAGCCACCAAACATCACCAGTTTAAGTGTGAATAACCTTATCCATCAGAGCAGCATCAGCCATCCTCTTGTCAGCTGTGCTGGATTAACCCAAACTTCAGAGCAAACAACTGTTCCTCCTACAGTTAATCTGACTGTTTCATCTAGTTCCTATGGCAATCAACCTCCTGGACCACCTCTCATGACTGAATATTCCCAAGAACAACTAAACACTATGACTGGCACTATACCAAATCCACAGATTCAAGAGCCACTCTTAAAGCCAAATCATGAAAGCCGTAAAGACTCTGCTAAGCGTGCTGTCCAAGATGACCTTCTGCTGTCTTCGGCTAAACGTCAAAAGCATTGTCAGCCAGCTCCCCTCAGGCTTGAAGGTATGTCCCTGATGAGCCGAACTCCAGACAGCATTTCTGATCAAACTCAAATAATGGTTAATCAGATTCCTCCCAACTCTTCAAACTCAGTTGTGCCTATTAGCAACCCAGCACATGGAGATGGCCTTACACGATTATTTCCACCTAGTAACAACTTTGTGGGCCCTGCACTGAGGCAAACTGAAGTTCAGTGCAGTTCTCAGCCTTCAGTTGCTGAGCAGCAGCAAACCCAGGCCAGTCAACATCTGCAGGCCCTGCAACAGCATGTTCCAGCTCAAGGGGTATCTCACCTGCACAGTAACCATCTCTACTTAAAGCAGCAGCAGCAGCAGCAGCAGCAGCAGCAGCAGCAAGCAGGGCAGTTAAGGGAGAGACATCATTTGTATCAACTGCAGCATCACATACCTCATGCAGAGAGCTCTGTCCACTCTCAGCCCCATAATGTCCACCAGCAGAGAACTCTGCAACAGGAAGTCCAGATGCAGAAAAAGAGGAATCTTGTTCAGGGCACTCAGCCCTCTCAGCTTTCCTTACAACCGAAGCACCATGGGACTGACCAATCCCGCCCCAAGAGTGGTCAGCCACATCCCCACCATCAGCAGATACAGCAACAGATGCAGCAACACTTCGGAAGCTCCCAGCCAGAGAAGAGTTGCGAAAACCCTTCAACCAGCCGGAACCACCATAACCATCCCCAGAACCATCTCAATCAGGATATCATGCACCAGCAGCAGGATGTTGGAAGCAGGCAGCAAGGATCAGGGGTTTCTTCTGAACATGTTTCTGGGCACAATCCAATGCAGAGGCTCTTGACATCAAGAGGCATAGAGCAGCAAATGGTGTCGCAACCAAGTATTGTGACTAGATCTTCAGACATGACCTGTACTCCACACAGACCAGAGAGAAATAGAGTTTCAAGTTATTCTGCTGAGGCACTCATTGGAAAGACATCTTCTAATTCAGAGCAGAGAATGGGTATATCAATTCAGGGTTCTAGAGTTTCAGATCAGCTTGAAATGAGAAGTTATCTTGATGTACCCAGAAATAAGGGTTTGGCCATTCATAATATGCAGGGTCGCGTGGACCATAATGTTGCCTCAGAAATCCGCCTTTCTGACTGTCAGACATTTAAACCAGCTGGAACCATTCAACAGCCCCAGAGTAATTTTGAAGTACAGTCTTCAAGGAATAATGAAATAGGTAACTCTGTGTCATCAATGAGGAGTATGCAGTCTCAGGCTTTTCGAATTAGTCAAAACCCTGGTCCACCACCAGTTGACCGCCAAAAGAGATTGCCTTATCCACCAGTTCAGAGCATCCCAACAGGAAATGCCATTCCAGCAAGAGACAGTGAAAATACATGTCATCAAAGTTTCATGCAGAGTTTACTTGCCCCTCACCTTGGTGATCAGGTCATTGGAAGCCAGAGATCACTCTCAGAACATCAGAGGAATACACAGTGTGGTCCATCCCCTGCTATTGAATATAATTGCCCCCCAACTCATGAAAGTGTCCATATTAGGAGAGAAAGTGAGAATCAGAATAGGGAAAGTTGTGATATGTCCCTAGGTGCAATTAACACCAGGAACAGCACCTTAAGTATTCCTTTTTCAAGTTCTTCTTCCTCAGGAGACATTCAAGGTCGAAACACAAGTCCCAATGTTTCTGTACAGAAGTCCAATCCCATGAGGATTACTGACAGTCATGGGACCAAGGGCCACATGAACCCTCCAGTCACAACCAACATGCATGGGGTTGCAAGGCCAGCTTTGCCACATCCATCTGTGTCTCATGGAAATGCTGATCAGGGGCCTCCTGTACGTCAAACTAATTCTTCAGTTCCCCAGCGATCAAGGCATCCTTTGCAAGACAGCAGTGGTTCCAAAATTCGTCAGCCTGAAAGGAATCGTTCTGGAAACCAAAGGCATAGTAATGTCTTTGATCCAAGTCTTCCTCATCTCCCTCTCTCTGCTAGTGGCAGTATGATTCTTGGACGCCAACAACCCACTACAGAGAAGAGAGGAAGTATTGTTCGTTTCATGCCTGAGAGCCCACAAGTACCTAATGATAATTCAGTGCCTGATCAGCATACACTATCACAAAATTTTGGTTTTCCTTTTATTCCTGAGGGTGGCATGAATCCACCAATAAATGCTAACACTTCTTTCATTCCACAGGTTACTCAGCCTAGTGCCACTCGAACTCCAGCTCTCATCCCTGTAGATCCCCAAAATACTCTACCTTCCTTCTATCCCCCGTACTCTCCTGCTCACCCTACGCTGTCCAATGACATTTCAATCCCCTATTTTTCAAATCAAATGTTTTCAAATCCTAGCACAGAGAAAGTAAACAGTGGAAGTTTAAATAACCGATTTGGATCAATTTTATCTCCTCCAAGACCTGTTGGTTTTGCTCAACCAAGTTTTCCTCTTCTCCCTGATATGCCACCAATGCACATGACCAACTCTCACTTATCCAATTTCAATATGACATCTTTGTTTCCAGAAATAGCTACCGCTCTTCCTGATGGTTCAGCAATGTCACCTTTGCTTACAATTGCAAACTCCTCTGCCTCTGACTCTTCCAAGCAGTCCACAAACAGACCTGCCCACAACATAAGCCATATTTTAGGTCATGACTGCAGTTCAGCTGTTTAAATACCGATAGACTAGATGTAAATGTAACAGTTGAGATTACACATGTATTTGTGTGTGCATGCACACGTATGGGCACATGAAGAGGGAGATTGCGCGTGTGTATGCCTTTGTGTTCGTATAGTCAATTTACAGTTACCTTCTGAATGTAGGGAAGCCATGTCAGAGATGATGCAAATACTGGGTTGTCAGATAATCTTTCATTTTTAACTGCATCATGTGCTTTTTATATTTTCCAAGCAGATTTGCATTTTGAAGATTGATTTGTAATATCCCTAAATATTAATCAGCTGGAAGCTGGGTGAGTTCATCTTGGCATGTGTTCGGTAGTAGAAAGGAACCCAGATTTTGAACTTGATTGTTGAAAATATGTAAAATAGTTGAAATGGTTAAATTGTTTTTCAGAAATACGGATAGTTCAATATAGCACAATGGCTCATAACCAAATGCTGGTTGATGTCAGCCTCTAGAACAGTTTCTTACCCATGGCAGGTGTTGAATTAGTATAGAATGAATGTCCATGGTTAAAGTCAAGCAGCTAGCAAATAAATGAGTTGTTTAATCAGCCTTTATTCCTAAGATTTGGTTTAGGTGGAGGCTTCTTTCTTAATTATAACAATAAATTATCAGAGTTTCATGTCTTGTTCCTCAAATTAGAGAGCTGTGTTATCCTTTAATGTGCCAAGATCCTTTAAAGCAAAGGTCTTCCCTAAACAGTTAGCCTTAAAAATAGAAAGTGAAAAAGAAAAGAACATAGATACCTTCCATTTTGTACTTGCATTTTGCATCAGACAATAAGGATAAGAGCAGTTATATTGTGGAGTTTTGCATGTGTTCAGTTAAAGATTGTTGTTTCATCAGTTGAGTGTTGTTTTCATATTCTCTTCATTCTATTTATTGATCTTGAAATAAATTCTTTTACATTTGTTTACTCAGTAGGGACTGATCAGTAAATAATGTGTTTGGAATCTACATATTATTTGAACCTTTTAAGATATTTCTTTGCAAGGTCTTAAGCTCTGTCCTTATTTTCATTTACTGATATTTGTGTTTAAAGTGGCATTGTATATTGCATTATTATCCTTCATAGCAGGATTATAATAACATAAATTTGTTCAATATTTTTCCCAATGGTAGATGTGAAATGGTGCTTCAGAAATTGTCTCTGTATGTTCGTGTGTATGTGTGAGTGTGTGTGTACACATAGGTTTTTAAGTATAAACTGGTCATTTAAAAATAGGCCTGCCATCTGAAAATGGGAAACTGAAACCCATGACCTGCTGAAGTATAGAAAAACTTGATGTAGGGGTTTTAAAAAGCCCCACTGAAATTAATAATAATCCTAAAAAATATATATGTATATACTTATACATTGAATTTTGAAAACTTAAACTAAGTCAACAACCATATATGCTCACATTGTCAAACCCACTACTTTTTGTTGTTATATTCTGCCAAAAATGGGATGGAGTGGGAGAGATGCATATAAATTGTTCTGTCTGCTCTGTTAACAAAGTGAACTCAAGGACCAGCATTTCCCCCCTCCTTCCTTAAAAAAGCCTCCTAGGGTTTGGTTAGAGCAGGAACTCCAGTGAATACCTCTTCTAAAGACTCAGCAAAAGGGTCATCTGTGCCTCTTCAACTGCTCTTAACCAAACTTTCCCATCTACTCGTGCTGCCAAATGAAGCAGCCTTCTAGGGGTTAAAAAAAAAAATTGTAAATTAGAAAAACTTTTGTATTTTCTCCTTTCAAAATGGTCATGGGGAGGAATCGGAGAGCTTCATGAATAAGTTATTCAACAAGACCACAGCTAAACGCCGTAGTTAAAAGTTTAAATTGAGAAAAAATGTAAGATTTATGACTTGTTTTTTAATTAACTGAGCTTTAAGCTTTAACATTCAAGTTTTTCTCTGTACTTGAAAGATCCAATCTGCTTATTTCAAGGACAGTTTTCAATGTGTTTGACTATTTATTCTCTCTTTCTTTGTATGTCTCTCTCACACAGACACACATGTGCGCACACAGTGGCTAGTGAGTTCTGAAGAACTGGGGACTCTTAGATGTAATTGGAACTAAGGTAACAAGCTAAGGAGAAACTCAGTTTGAACATGGCAATGAAAAGGCCTCAAAGCCTGGAACATTCAGACACTTCTGTTGCATTGATTGTATTTTTCTCTTCAGATCTGTTCAGAGGTACAGTTCTCAGGGCTTTCATTCCAAGCCTGTAACACTTTGATCCTGAATGAGTCTTTACCCCTAAATAAGGCTTACTTGACCACCTGAGGAAAGATACTGCCATCTGCAAATAATTTGGCTCCTGCTTACATGTAGCTCTAATTATCTTACAGAAATGTGCATTTTATTTAGGAACTCAAGTCTGTGAGGGGTCTGAGCATAGTAATCTTATTTGATTTAAAAGCACAAGTGTATGAGATTTACCAGCAGTATTGAGTATGTGATAATTAGAGCTACCTGATTTTTGGGGTGGAATTTATTTTAATATTTACTGATCTCTGGATGTAATTTTTGGCAAAGGATTGGCAGAGAACGTAGTCGGTTTTGGTTATAGTAAATTTAATGTTATTTTTGGCTTGCTAATATATGACTATAGCATGTAAAACCATTTCCACAAATAATTTTTTTAATTTCTGGAAATACACAAGCTTCTGTATGAACTATAAATGAGAGGCATTGATTATATCAATTTTCTCTTTTAGTATTATTAATCACATGGAATGTTACAAAAAAGTGGTTGATTCCTCTAAATATTTAACACAGTAACTTCTAATGAGATGAAAACTTTCAGATTTTTCATCATGTATAAACTTTTAGTGTGTCAATCAAGTTTGATGTCATTTCTGTTTTTTGTACAAACAGGTTGTTTTGGGATGTTTTATACCACTTTGGGACATTTATTTTTTGTTTTATTGCAAGACCCTCCAGTGGTATCAGAGATGGCACCCTTTTTCTAAGTAAGGAGTGAGAATTCCAGAGTAATCATGCTTTAAACAATTTTACATATCAGAACTGTGGAAAGAGAAAAATGAGGAGGGGATGTTCTTTTGCAGCAATTTCCAGTCACATATTAGAGTGAACTTCAGTGAGGATCAGCTTTTAAAATCAGCTTTTTAAAATAAAAAATTACTTAAACAAACTTATTTAAAATTATTTTAATGATAATTCATTTGCCATGCTCTTGCATTCTAACATTGGCCATTTCCTAAAGAGGCTAAAATTTATACTCCTCCCCCCCACCAAAAAAAAAATGTTGGAAACACATTTAATGGGAGTAAAGCTTTAAAAATTTGAGAAAGGGTAAAGACGTAAAGATACAAATCTTCATAGCTATATCCTTCCTTTGATACATAGGTACCTAGGCTCTTATTTTCTTCCATCTGCTCTGTGTCAAACAGGTGACAGGGAATCTGGTCATTTCCTTAGCATGATGATTACTCCTTTGCCTTCAAACATTTATTGGGCATACCATCTATTGAGTCAGTGTGTGACAGGAAGTCATACTCCCAAATCAGTAATTCCCAGGTCTTGGTTTTGGGAACTATTAAGTCACCCAGTTTCTTGAAACATGAGTAAATCAAAAGTGATTTAAAATATTTAATGTGCCACATAGTTCTCTACCTTGTTTTAATGAGCCTCCCCGCCGCTGCCCGCCTCCACTCCCCACCACGGAGTGAAGAAAGGGCAAAGATGATCCCAGAAGACAGCTTTGATTTGCTGTCCTTAGGAACCTGGATGTCATTGTTGTAATTCTGTTGTCTATATAAACCCTGCCTTTGCCTGGAGATAACTGCTTATGGCTTTGTACATCCAGAGGGCATAGTAATAGCCAGAGAAACTAGTGTGAAGTTACTTTGTGAGTGATGATTTTATGATACCTATATGCACACTAAAGGCCAGAAAACAGTTTCTTGAGATACCTTTTTGGCTACATTTCTCCTTCACCAGAGTTCAACAAGAAAAGGGTTCTTTTTTGGACTTAACTGTATTTTCCCTGCAGTCTACACTTCCTGTGTCAGCCTGAGAGTTTTTCTGCTGAGTCTATGGGGGACATCAAGATTAGATTGAGGCAGTCCAAATATGCCGGGAGGAAGTGTTAGAAACCTTCTTGGACAGAGTTTCTTTCTCGTTCTGCTCACATGCCTCTTCCCTGGTACTGCACTTTACTGAAACTGTGCCTCTGGTCCTAAGACCAGCCATTGGAACATATCGCTCACCTGCTTCTCTGTTACAGCAAAGTACCAGCCAGGATGGTACATGTCAAGTAATCAAACACCTGGAAGACAAGTACAGCTGATGTTTCTCACTGTTGCCTTATCATTCTCTGAGCCATCTTTGATTCCAATCTTGTTAAAAAAAAAAAAACAAAAACAAAAAAACCCTTATTAGGTAGAAGAAAACTCCTTTTAAACTCCACTTGTATGTGATGGTCATCCAACATCCTTATTTATGGATTTGCGCAAACCCCAACATCCTTATTTCTAGAATTATGTAATCTTTTTCTGTCTTGTGCATGTGTTCAGATGCTACATAAACATGAGCTGTCTTGCATGGAAACTATTGGGCATAATATCCAAAATGGTGTTATTTTGTATGACTGCATAATCTTCACTAGAGATTTCATGAGACATAGAAGATAACTATTTGCAATTTAACCTTTTAAACAAAGATGATCCTGAGTATGTATTTTTTTGGCTCAGCTGTGTGTTCAGTTATACATCATACTGTGTCATAGGAACTTAATGTTTACTCCAGCTAGATGCCCTCTTTCACTTTTCTGGATCCCTGTTCCCCACCCTCTAAGTCTTAAAACCATTTTTCATCTGTGAGGTCACTGAGGCACTGGACTTGATTATATTGGTAACCTTCAAGGGGAGTCGAATTGTTGATCTTCCAAGAAGAAAGGGACCAGACAGTGTTGCTTGAAATGCTGCAATTGTGTTACTGTGAAGAAAAGATTTGCTTCCACTTTCAGCAGGCCATATATGTATTCATTTTGGTAAAAAATAGGTGGAAAAATCTGAGAACATAATCACCTTCACAAATTATTTATAGATACACTGGGTGAGAAACGTACTGTAGGGCAGTCACCAGAAAAAACCTAACTGTAATGCTTTCAATAGTGTAATATTTGTATCTATTTCCATGCCAGCAATGTCTGCTGTGCACTGTGTCCTATTACTGTAAATCACCTGGTTTATTATTCTAATGGGAACTAACTTGTTTTGTAATGGAATCCAGAGCAGATATGTATAATATGATCAGGATTGTCCTACTGTTGTAAATAAGAACAGGTCCTGTTTATTTTGACATCTTTTTACAAATGCATTGTATTAGGGTGTGAATATTCTGAACCATGCTCTTGTTTAAAGTTTTGAAATTTTTATTGGTAAATGTAACATTTTAATGGTTGTAATAATTATTTGTATAGATATGAATATAGTATTTTATTTAAGAAAATAAACTTTGCATTTTTGCATTGTGAATTCTGTCTTTTCTGATCATTGCATGTGCCGCTTCAAGCCTGCTATGACAATGACTTCTCTTTAAAACTGAAGCCTCATATTCAAGTAACCTTTAAATTAATTTTGCCAAAGTATCTGAATTGATAACATGACACATTTCCCCTGAGGATTGCGTTCTTGATTAAAGAGTCAACTTCAAATAAATCATAATTATGAGCAGCACTATATTTTTAGAGTAAACTCTACACCTTTGTGCTTATTGTAAAAAGTAAAATTAGAATTTCAGATCTGGAAGAATATTGAGAGATGACTCAGTTTACACTCTCCTTGCATCTTATAGTGGAGGAAACTGAAGCACTGAACTTTGGGGCAAGAATTGGGTCTTTCATTATAGCCACATGAACTTGGTCACATCTCACCAGCATTGTTTGAGGGAAAAAAACATGCTGCAAAGGAACTTGTACAGGATAAACCTTAAATGCCTATAAATTAAGTAATATTGTTCAGTGGTAGCCTACAGATGTGGTAGATGTGGTAAAAATGATAAATTAAGGAACGGATGAAGTTCAGGATAATGGATACTTTTTAAGAGAGGGGGAGATAGTATCAAGGATGGTACTTCAAAAACAAAATACTCAGGTGTTTATTTCATTTACACCTGAAGTTTTTGTCTTAACAAATGTATAAAATATATCCCCAAATTAAAATAGGGATCATTAACTCCCACATGTGTTACAGGAAATGAATACAATATTTTCCTTTTTCCAACTTCTTGGGAGTTCAGATTAAAACTCAGTAACCCGACTCTCAAGTATTTAGTGTTCTTTCTATTGCACACTGCCTCTCATACAGAGGCCATGGACGTATCATGAATTTTGATTACACAGGGAGCCCTAATGAGCCCTAAAGAGCATACAACCCATAAAAATGTAAACACTATGCGTAAGTTCAATCTCCCTAAGATGAAAGTGCAAATTATAACAGCTATATAAAGTTTTGTTGGCTTTCCAGTTTAGTTAGATGTTTGAAGGAAAATGATTTTAATTACTTATCTCTTTAAAGAGCTATGCAGGGGATTTTCTCTGTTAGGTAGGATGTAGGAGCTAGCGGCAGGTCAGCAGTCCTACTGCAACAACGAGAGCAAGAAGATGAGTTAGAACAATCCTATTTTAAGAGATAATAAAACCCATCAACTATAAGACCAATGGATTTTAATATGAAAAGTTCACGGATAACAGTTTCAAATTCCACATTGCAACTTTGGGAAAGTACCAGTTGTTGAGTTTAGGTATCATATGAAAGAATAACTACAATTATCTGCAAAGGCTACTCACTGTTCCAACTACATATTTCTGTAAGGCTATTTTTCTTCAGATACTTCAAGCAAAATACATACTGCAGCATAGATACTGCAGCAGAGTGAAGGCAGAATCTGATCTGAGAATACAGTTGTCTTCTATGAAGCCAGAGGTTAAATAGATTTACAAAAATGTAAAACATTGCCACAGTTCTCAAAACTTCTTTTTGATTTGGAAAATAATGTGTAAGTATAAATTTATCATAAAATAAGTTATTTTTATTCTATAGTGAGTTTATTGCTATCTTTGAATGAAGTAATTATTTAAAGTTTTCCATTCTTATTTCTAACGTAAATATTGGTAGATATAATTTACATAAACATCTTTGGGATCCTCAGTGATCTTTAGGAGTTTAAATTGTTAAATTGAGAACACATGTTCTAGAAAAAAAAGAAAACCCCAGGAAATAATATCTGAGCATAACCATAAAAGAAAAAATTGTTAAATTAGACTTTATTAACATTAAGAATTTCTTGTCATCAAATCACAGACTGGCAAAGATTATATATATCAAAAAGAAAAAGGCTCATAAGCTGATTTTTAGAAAATGGACACGAAACTTGAACAAATTCTTTACATATATGGCCAAGAAGTCTATGAAAAGGTGCTTAACATCAGTAGTCACCAGAGAAATGCAAAATAAAATGAGATGAGATACCATTACACACTTGCCCAGAAACGCTAAAGTTGAAGGAGCTGACAAATTAGTTCCAAGTGTTAGCAAAGATGTGGAATAACTAGAACTCTCATCAGTGATAATGGAAGTGTAAACTGGTACAACCACTGTGGAAAATTGTTGGCAGTTCCCTTTAAAACTAAAGACTTATCTACCTGGTAACTAAGAAATTACATAGGGCACTGTATATGTACCCTGGAAAAGAATGTTTGTATTAAGTTCACCAAAAGATATGTATAAGAATGTTCATAAAAGCTCTCTTTACAGTAGCCCAAAACTGGAAACAACCCAAACATCCATCAATAGGAGAGTGGATAAATGAAATGTCATGTTCACAAAATGAAGCTACTGACACACACACACAGATGAACCTCACAGACTTGATTATAACAAGTGAAAAGTGTCAGACAAAAAGGAGTACATACTGCATAATTCCATTTATGGGAAGTTCAAGAGCAAGCAAAATTCCCCTATGAGGAGTAAAGTCAGAATAGCAGAACAGACACGAGGATACCAGAAATGTTTTGTATCTTAATGTGGGTAGTGGTTACACACACACACACACACACACGCACGCACGCACGCACGCACGCACACAAAAGGTCACTGATCTGTATAAACAAATTAGTGCACATGTTGTATATTACTGAATATATTTTATACCTAAATAAAAAGTTAAGAAAAACTATCTATGGAAGTCTGAACTGATGTTGGTTTTCTCTTGATAATTTTCTTGAGTCAGCCAAATCTAAAAGTCATTGTGCTGTCACTCTTCAGAAAATTAAGGAGCCGTGAAACTGTTTCCTATCAGGTTGCCATTACTGGGCTGTGTGACTTAAGGCAACTAGCATAACTTCTTTGCACCTTAGTTTATTTGTTGGTACATTATCTGTCCTCTCTCCTTTCCAGGGTTGTTATGAAGGACAAAGAGGTTTTATTTTTGAAGTGTTTCCACACCGTTGCAAAGGAATATTTCAATGTCAAGTGGCGGTTCTTTTCCACAACCTTCCTTATTTCTGTCCCCCTACACATGAGATTGAAATGCAGGGCTCTGCTGGAAAGTTTGTTGGTCAGCATCAACAGCTCCTTTGACCTGTTTTATTTCTTGTGAGAAATTAAGGAGATATATACTAATTTGCTGCCTATGTAAGTTCAGAAGTGGGTAGGCTGATTACTAGTGGGAGTGTGCCACTTAATTTTTCACATAAGCAAGTAAACTACAGATTTTTGGGAAGATATGAAAATCTAGCTTTTAACTGTGCTGTGCAGTTCTTGCTTGATGGTGTTTTCTTACATGGTTTAATCACATTCAAATCTGTGGCTTGGAAAGAGGCTGAAGCTGAACTGTAGCGGTGCAGAACTGACTGCCTCGGGGAAGTTTTCTGGGAGTCCCTGAATTCAATTAGGTTAAATCCCATTTTTTAAAATGTTGCTGAGTGGCAAATATGCAAATTCACATTAAATATTTTCTTTTGAAACCCTTGGAGACAGCTTAGTGTAGGAGAAGAAACTTGGTGAGTATGTCAGTATTTCAAATCAAGTCCCACTGCTTTGTTGTCTTACCTCTGGACAAATTTAGAAACGCTTACCACCATCATCCTTGTACCCCAAACGACGAATTATGATTTCCCATTTCATTGCAGCCTAGCTCTTCTGCCTCAGTTTGGTGGATGAACCGTCTCCCTTAGAGGAGTGAGGGCTGGGCCCAGCCCTGAAACACAAAGACGGTTCAGCCATCAGGTGGAGCCATAGATGCTGCCTGACTTACTGGGCCTGTGCGGATGAGCTTGGGGGGCAGCTTTGGAGGACTTTTTAATCCTTGACAGTTTATGTGTGTGTGTGTCTGAATGTTTTTAGGAAATAAAAACCTCATGCATTCCTGTGCTTTCTGTCCATTGTTAACTTTGGTTCAGAATCACAGCCTCCCAGTGGAAACCTGATGCCTTAGGCAACATATATTTTAATTTAAAATGAATCGTTGGGTTTATAGCCCTTTGCCAAGTGCAATCACTAAATTTATAAAAAAGACATTGGTCTTGACTTTACAGGCTTAGAAATTGAAGCAGCAGTCCTCCTATGAATCCAGCCGTTCCACTTTAGAGAGCCAAAATGACCGAAAGCTGTAGTTTCATTGGCTGGCTTTCTTAAAAGCACAGTAAGTTTCACTGCACTCAGATTTATATAACAGACACACATCTTCTGAATTTTGGAAAAACCATCTCTCTCTCTTTTTGTTTTTTACAATATTTTATTTGTTTTTTTAGAACAGGGGGGAAGGAAAGAAATATTGATGTGTGAGAGAATCATTAGTCTGTTGTCTCACGCATGCCCCCAGCTGGGGACTGGCCCACAACAGGGGCATGGGTTCTGACAGGGAATCAAACTGGAGACCTTTCGGTTCACGGACCAGCACTCAATCCACTGAGCCACAGCTGCCAGGGCAAAACCTTCTCGATTTGTTAACAGGTTCAAGAGTTATATAATTTTAGGGTGTGTATTTTACATATATAGATACATGCGCAGATAAATGTCGAATCATTATCGTACCACAATCTTTTCTTTGGTCTTGTTACTCAGACTACTTATTTTTGACAGCTAATCCAGGTTTCTGCAATATTTGCTTCACAGAGAACAGTGACTTTCTCTAAGTTTCAGTTTCTCCGTCTGGAAATGAAGGTAATAATGATACAGACATCGCAGAGGAGGTGTTTCAGGATTAAATGTGGTAATGTATATAAAACCTTTGGCAGAATCCTGACAACAGGTGTTGACTGTTTTAATGGTCAGCTCTGCCGACTTTAATCTTTTAGGGGCTGCAGATGGGAACTGAGGGCAACAGTTTCCTGCAGTAAGATTCTGCTAAAAGGGCAGACGCAGGACCTCAGTGCTGCGCTTGTCCACCAGCAAGGTGTTGTTGCAGTTCCTAAGAATTAGGAAG